AGGCAAACATCACTGTTTATTGATTGGTGGGGAAGGGAATGTAGCCTGGCTGAGTGTTTACAAGGGGTTGACCTGAGTATATGGGGTAGAAATTCGTAGGTGAAGGAATGGCAACAAAGTGGTCTTTCCAGATGTTGCTGAAATGATCAAGGCTGCACCAGTGATCGAGAGGGAAGATAAAAATACTGGTAACCAAAGAAAATACTGGTAAGGCTACTATCAGCTCTTGTGATGAGATATTGAGAGATAAAAATCCTAAATGCAGCTCTTGTTATGATTGTATTTTGCAACATCTGAGGCTGGTTATGTTGGTTATTTTTAATGAAATTTGCCAATTCAAAAATATGGTCCTAATAACCCTGGAGTTTCACAGTAAGACTTCCAAATCAAGCCTAAGCAACCTATCCACCACACCACCTATGTAGCACAAATCGACCCAGGGTTCGAGGCCCATAATAACTGCGTGTGTATAATAAAACTTATGAATAAATTAGCTAGGCAAAGTCATTAAAACTTTAGTTCCTGTTTTGCAAAACAGTCTAAACTGTTTCTGATTTTATACCGTTTCGGACAGTAAAATCAGGACCTTTAGATTGGGAGAAGAGGGTTCAGTATCAAGAACCCTCCTCAATCCAACGGTCACTGTCTGGACCCAAACAGTATTTCTTTTTCTGAAAACTTTCTAACAAGTCATTTGCACAAATTATATTTATAAAAGAAAAATTATTTAAGTATAACTTTTTCGTGCCATCTTACCACCTTTATAAAGGAGTCCGCTGTTTTGCACTATACTAATCTGCAAAAAAAACTCTTAGATAACAGAGCCTCCAATATTATAAGCTCACTGCTCATCCCTTATTCAAAGGCCTATATTTTAGCTTCTAAGTTTCTAACACAGTAGTCTGCAATACACTTTTCGATTTTACAATTTCCTAGATGGACTGCAATTTGACAAACTTACCCAAAACTTTTTTTTGGTCCACAACGTACGTTTGCCAATAAGAAAGCACCAAGGATATGAAAGGGGTTAAAAGAAAAGAAGGAAAACAACATATCTTATAGAACCAATTCTAGCATCACAAAGAACACATAGAAATAAGAGAAACTCAAAGACAACATGCATTTGATAATTGTTCAACCTAAATCCAGATTGAGGAGCTAAGCAGAAAAGTTGGTAGACTAAAACTAAAACAGATCAACAAGCAAAAGAACAAAGTTGGAATCATAAGCAGACAAAAGTTACCTTGACTTAAAGCAGAGCATATGGTTTCTGGCAACCTGCTTCCGCCGTTGGCATTTCTCATAATCCTAAGGATCATCTACTAACGCCAAAGTCCTAGAGCCGGATAGATCAGGAATGGTTTATGCTCCTATGGTGATTGATTTGTTTCACATCTTCAGATCTGCAAATCAAGCAGCATATGAATACAGATCCAATACTTTTCCTACTTTGTCCTTTCTTATCTGTACACCACCCGACTATGCCGTCCATCTTGGTGCTTGATTGCCATGATAGACTTCAAATCAAGCGATCTACCAACAATATGGACCAAAATATCCTCTAGCTCGGGTGCTGCATACATTAGGAACGACAAAACAAGAAAAGTATCGGATTTGCAAGCTGTTGAATTTGCAGATCCGAAGATGAAAGACGATCTGAAGATGGGAGAAGAGGAGGCAATGGAGATCTCCAGAAGCAATGACCTTAAATTCCCCTTTTATTTTTTTCTTTATGTGATATTGATATGACACATGAATGAATTGTTTAAAAGCTATGTGCTCATTGGATATTAGATTTCTTTATAGATGCTAATTCACATATCAAATGTCCATTTTACCCTTGTATTTGGTCAAAACCTCAAGAAAGTAAAACTATATTATTAGCCTCATGTAGCAATGATTTATTAGTTTGAATAGAAAAAATTTAATTTTTTAAATAAAATAATGAATTTGAAGTTTATAAATAAAAAAATAAATATTGCGAAAGCTTCTTGAGATCCAATTAAAAAAAAGTAATTATCAAGCGTAGTTACGATGGATCTAATTAAGAGTTTGAGAGTATAAATTAAAAATTTTGAATTTAAATCAAAAGACTTATAAAAAGGAATTAAGGAGATAAAAAGGTGTCTATATAGTATAGTTCATTATTTGATGTAAAAAAATATTAATTATCAATTAGCACTACTGTAGCACTTTTTATCTTGAGAAAAAGTAAACTTGATTTTTAATTAAGAGATTAATGTATATCAATTTTTATTTTTAAAATTTTAATATTAAATAATATCATTTTATTTAATTAAATTTTAATTAAAAATTATAAATTTACTTTATTAAATAATGTTGATATTTGCATTTAAAAATTAAAAACGTCATTAAAATTCAAAAATTTACCTTATTAAAATTGATACTTAGATTTATGTGTTAGATACTAAATATTTAATAAGGTAGATTTTTAATTTTTAAATTCTTTATTATTGATACCTAAATTTATGTGTTAAGTATTAGTATTTAATAGGATAAATATGTAAATTTTAAGTTTTTTATGAATAAATAAATTTCATTCAAGAAAATGAATTATTACGAACTTTAACAGGGGTATAACGAAACCTCCTAATTTGCCAATTTAGGTAAATCTTTCTAATTACAACTAAGATTTTAACAAAATAAATAAGAAGAATCCATTTCTTAATTAGCCATCAAAAATCAAAATCCCTCATTCAAACCATTTCTAATTAAAACAAAAGGATTTTTCTAACTTAATATTATATTAAATACATTTTTGGCAAAAAAGGAAAAAAAAAAAATGATATTAATTTTAATGTTAGGTGAATTTAATTGGATAATTAATAAATTAAAAGTTGTTTTTATTTTTTCAATATAAATGTATATTAAAAATGTGTATTTAATACATTTTTAATTTGTACTTTAAAGGTATAGGTTAGATAAACCCAAAACAAAATAGTGCATTAGTTCACAATTAATATTGACAATCTCCTCTTTTATATTGTCTTCTCGAATTATTCGCTTCAATCTCAGATCTGAAGGTAGAATATTTTGATAAGTATCCCCATAATTGAAAGAAAGCCTTGATCTTCATTTATCACCTCTCAAAAAATTTAAACAAAATGTGGTTGCTAAGGGCAGCTATATTTCCATAATCAAATAAAAGATTAACCACTTGTTAATTCAAGTGGGAAGAATTCGTTTTTTTTAAAATAAAATCTTAAATTTAAATTTTATAAATAAAAAAATAGACAGTAATAGAACCCTTGTCTTATGGGGTCCTATGTAGATCAACTTTGAATTAGTTACAATGTATTGTGAATTTTAGATACCTAAAGGCTAGTGAAAAAAAGAAAAATCAAATACAAGCCTTTGGCAACCAAATCTTGTTTAATTTGGGTTGAAGGGTTTGTTTGACATGGCTCGAAATGTTTGAGGATTAAATTGCATTGGTGCCTGTATATATTTAAAAAAGAATCCAAAGGTAATCGAATTGTCTTTAAATTAATATAAAATATGGTCTTTAAATTGGCCGAATCCAAATCCAACCCTTCAAAACAAATATACGGCCGAATCTATAATAAATAGGTTAAAACCCTTTTGGTCCTGCAACTTTAGTATAGCGTCCCGTTTTGGTCCCTTAATTGAAAAGATCCTCTTTTTAGTCACTCCCTAAAAACTAATTTTTTAACCCTTCATAAACTTTCTGTTATTATTTATTTATTTATTTATTATTTTTGCTTATGTGGCACTTTAACCAACTGAAAAGCCCATTTTTTCTTCACCTAAATGACAGTAAAAAATAATAACGTGGACCAAAATTTTAACCCAACTTGACCTACTGTGTTTAATCACAAGTTATCATTATAATTAAGTTAAATTTATTATGAAACTTATCCTAACATATTTATTTATTTTTGGGTAAAATCTATACGATTAAGGTATAATTTGTATTGTAATTGATTTAATTATTAACAAAATTATATTTCCCCGTAAAAAAATTACTTATTACCTCTTCTCCTTTTTTCTTCTATTATATAGTAATCTTATAATTATAAAATTACGTAAAATTAAAAAATTATAATCATAACAAGTAAAATCTTAAATAAATTGTGTTAATTATATAATAAATATATTATTATAAATTTATAATATTATGTAACATTATAATTATATAATTTTTAATTAATATATTTTCTCATTTTTCTATTTTTATTCTCTTGGCTAAGAAAGAGAAGAAGCCTCTCATTTCTCTTCCAAGTTCCCATGCAGAACGTCAGTTAGAATTTTTTCCATTTGTAATTTTTCCACATCATTTGAAGTGGATTAAGAGTTTTCTCCGCCTTAACCCTTTGAGAACGTGGAGATTATAAATAATTTGTAGAATAAGAAAATTACATCTCTAACCTACTAAGACTTTATTTAATATATTTGTAGTTTTAAATTTTGTATTTTAATTATCAATGATTTAAATAATTTAATAATAATTTTTAAAAAAATTTTAAATTCAAATCACATTATATATAAATGAAGTGAGATAATAAGTAAATAAAAATTGCTTTTAATTGTGTAATTTATTATTAAAAAAATTTAGTTTTTAAAATTCAAACAGTTTAAATTAACAATTAATAATTAATAATTAATAATTATTAATTATTAATTTATTGAGTACAAAATTTTAAAATAAATACTTAAAATTTCAAATTTAATTAACTTATTAAACTACTTCATTTCATTTTAAAATTTTTAAAATTTTAAAAACCATAACAAAAAATACTAAATAAAGCATTAAAGTTCCACGTCAGCTGAAAAATGTTAAAATGTTAACGGATGGTGAAAAAATAGGCCGGAAAATTAATTTTGAGGTACTAAGAAAAGGGTTGCTTTTTAGTTGGGGATTAAAAATGAATTCCGTACTAAAATTGAGGGACAAAACGGTTTTAAACCTAATAAATATTCTTTTGGTGGTAAATCTACCATAAATATTGCTGAAAGACGCAGAATCGGTGACCGTCTGCCCTAAGCAGCCAATTGATTTCTCTTTTTCAAAGACATGGAGGTGAAAGAAGGCTGCCGGAACAATCAAGGGCCACCACCGTCCCCCCACTTGCTATGCTTGGACGGAGAGAAGATGGCCCTCTTCTCAATCACCCAGATCGGAGGTGAGAAAGATGTCAAAACTACGCCTCCGGAGCTGCGGGGAAAAAAAGTTATAACTTCCTGTCATGGTTGGTTAATCCTACGTGATGTTGATGTTGACGTTGATGAAAAGGAAGAGTATAATGCTGATGTTGATGAAGAGGAAGAGTATTATCACTACTCTCTTTGGAATCCTCTCACCTTGGAGTTCATATGCTTACCCGCTTTCCACTTGAAGCCTGAACAAGAACTCCGGGAATGCATACTGACCTCGCCCCCCGGTAATGATGATAGCATGCTCTTATTTTTTGAAAAGAAAGTTCCTTCCTTCATATTTTATAGGATTGGAGATGAACACTGGACTCATCAGCCTATTACTGCAGATTTTGAGACAGATTATTTGACCAATTTTGTGGTTTGCAATGGAACGTTGTATTGTAGTACTGATAAGAGGGGAAATATAGTAAGGATTGATACGAGCGCTTCAGACCGTCATCTTTTACTGGTTTTCTTTGATGCGTCCCGACCAGAACCTAGAGAATTTGCTGTTTGTGACATTCTATACAGGGCAGAATCATTTGGTGAACTTTTTGAAATTCATGTGTTACTGGAAGGAACCCTTTGGAATAAAGTACATGCTCTGGAGGTTTTCAGATTGGACTTCTCAAGTATGGAATGGAGAAGGGTAGAAAGTTTTGAGGACAGAGCATTTTTCCTTGTTGGTCGGTCTTTCTTTTCTTGCCAAGCAATTGGGTCAGGAGTCAAAGGGAACCATGTATATTTCACATTATCTGAGGACAGAAGCCTCTACTCATTCAACATGGAGGACAAAACTGTTTCAGTTGCTTTGCCTTGTTCGAATTTGTCAATCTCTTGTGAACCCATCTTGCTCTTACCAGATTTGAGGTATATATTCTTTATGTTCGTATTATTAATTATTTGATATGCATTAATTGTTTTTAGTACTTAATTATATGCATTATTTTTTTAAATGCTAGGAATGACAATATAGAAGGCAAGAACAATGACTTGGATGTTGGAAGGAAGGTGATAAAGTCTGAGAAAAGACAAGTTGTCAAGCGTCCACCACCAACTGAGGCAGAGGCAGAGGCAGAGACAGCAATGGGAGATTTTGGTAAGCTTCCTTTAGACATGGTATTTGAGATTGGAAGGTGCCTTATCCTAGGTGACTACATGAACTTTCGGGCTGTGAATAAAATGTGTCATTTGGCCGCCCCTTCGATCCAATGGAGACGTGTAGGCTTAAAGGGGTTTACGGACTATAATTGTCTTCCACCTTGGTTCACCTCCTTTAAAAAAGGCGATGCTATTTGCAATTTTTTTAGTCCATTTCGTGCTGAAAACTATTTTGTTAGCATCCCTAATAATGAGTTGAAAGATGCCAAGATGTGCTACTCAAGAGACGGTTGGTGTCTCATGTTACGAGGACAATCTTCCTTGTTTCTATGGAATCCTATAGTAGAGGGAATTTTTGTTCTTCCAGATTTGCTCTGTAAATGGGATCAAGTAGTTGGCTGCAGTATCTCATCCTTTATAGACTCTGTTGTTTTGATCCGTGATGATTTCTCTATTGACTTCATCTTTCTAGAGGAAAGTGAATGGTCCAGTTTTAGTATATCTGGCTCCTGCGATCATTATTTTTGGGTTTCCATACCAGCATTCTATGAAGGGGCTTTCTACTTTTTCTTTGAGGACGGAAATCTAGCCATCTTTAAAATTGAAGAGGAGCCATTTTTTCAGATTCTCAAGCAACTTAAATCCCCTTGTTCCTTCCATCAAATTTTCTTGTTACAGTGTGATGGGATGCTTCTGTCGGTGTTAGTGGGTTTCTTAGGAGAATGGATTCTGGTTTTCAAGCTGGACTTCTCTAAGATGGCTTGGGTTGAAGTTGAAAATCTTGGAAAAAACACACTTTTCATTAGCCGCTTTTCCTCTTTCTCCATGAGAGCACCAAGTCCTGAAATGGAGAACAGAATTTATTTCCCAAGATTCTATGAGAAGGATGGAAATATTATCTACTATTCTCTTAGTACAGGGAAGTTACACTCTCATGGTACTGAGGAAGTCCTAGAAAACTTTTACAACACGAAGGAAAAATTGTCTTCTAATTGGATTGAACCCAGTTGGAACTGGGATGTTTACAATGGTTCTTAATAACATGTAATGTTGTGAAGATTGATATGGTAGGGTTCTACTGAATGAACTTAATTGATAATAAATTGGTCTGAAATATGCAACTTGCATTACTGGTTTCTGTTTTCATGGTCCTATGAAATCATTGGATTTTCTTGGCGTCTCTAGTTGAGTGGTTCTCCTATTTTTTAAATTGCATTAGTTAGGTTAAAGGCTGTGTGTGGCTTTGTAAGACATTTCCTTAATAGATTTTTATTGTGCCCACCTCAAGTGTCATCTTTGCAATTCATGTTTACTTTTAATATCCCCTTTCCCTTTTTTTCCCCTTCTCTGGTACAAAGGGGCAGTGATGCATCACTGAATTAACAAATGACTCTAGGCCTACATACACCAATTGAGTCTGGAAAATGAAAAGGGTCAAAATATAGTATTTGGTGGATCCTCTAAACTCTCCTTGCTTCTGGAGTTGCATTTGGCATCCCTGGCTTTGATGATGGAATTATAAGTATGTTAAAAGAAATGTCAAATATTTCTTAGGGATTTGATGAAACTCCAATTTCAATGTTGTTTAAATGTAATAGAAGTTAGAAGGCAAAGGCTTTAAATTCTAATAATTTCATTTCAAAGCCAATAAAAACGCCAGAGAGCACATTCTTTGTAGAATTTTCTTCAAGGGTAACAAATCACGCCATTGAGATCCCATTTCTCCTAGAGGAGCACAACAATTAGAACTCCCAAGATCCCACCACACTAAAGAAAACCAAAGAAA